ATCGGTTCCTGTCACAGAGTCATTGGTTCCTGTCACATCCCTACCCTCAGCCACCATTTCTTATCAGGCCCTTGGTTGTATTATAAAGTCCCGGGTTGAGCCAAGTCTCCTGAGCCAGAGCCAGCACCCAAGTCTCGAGAGTCCAAGTGGTCCACCTCTTGAGAGTCCAAGGCGCCCATGTCTAAGGGGTCCAAGGCACCCATGTTTAAGGTGCCCAAGGTGCCCACGTCTAAGGGGTCCAAGGCCCCACGTCTAAGGGGTCCAAGGCGCCCACGTCTAAGGTTTCCAAGGCGCCCACGTCTAAGGGGTCCAAGGTGCCCATGTCTAAAGGGTCCAAGGCGCCCATGTCAGTATCCAAGTGTGCAAGTAGTCCAAGTCTCCAGTGTCCAAGTTGTCCAAGTCTCCAGGGTCCAAGTTGTCCAATTCTCCAGGGTCCAAGTCTCCAGGGTTCAAGTCGTCCAAGTCTCCAGGGTCCAAGTCTCTAGGGTTCAAGTCGTCCAAGTCTCCAGGGTCCAAGTCTCTAGGGTTCAAGTCGTCCAAGTCTCCAGGGTCCAAGTTGTCCAAGTCTCCACAGGGTCCACTGTCTCACCTCAGCCGGCCATCGGGCCTCCCTCCAGAGCCCCAGCCACGCCTAGGCTGGCCTTCGGGCCGATTTCCAGAGCTACAGCCTCGCTTCGGCCGAGCTCCAGGCCGACCTCCTGAGAACTTGCCTCATGTCAGATGCGCCTAGGGTCACCTTGAGACTTTTTATGTTTCTGTTTTTATTTTTCCCAGGACCTTCCTGTCCTTTTTTGTTCTACATTTAAGCCTTTTTTGATTTTGTGTCCCATGCCTCGTCTGCCTTGTTGTTTTTGTTCTTTCCCTCCGTCTTGTCTTGTAGCTCGTTACCCACTCCACCCTCCCGTGTTTGTTTGGTCATCGTCAGGAGACGATCTTTAGGGGAGGGTACTGTGAGGATTTGTGTGTTGTATGTTCTTTCTGTTTGTCTTGTGCTGTTCCTTCCCCTGGTGTCCATATTCTATGTTTACATGCTCATCTCTTTTCCTCAGCCTCATATCTCTCTCTCTCTCACTCACCTGTCTTCACTCTTTAATCAGTCAGCTGTTTCCATTTCCAATCAGCCCAGCTCTGTATTTAACCTCCCTCTGTCCACCACTCCAGCGTCGGTTCATTGTTTGTTCTGGTCTCATGTTCCATGTTTCTCCTCACCTCGTCTTTTTGGATTTTAGTTTTGTTTTTGCTGCCACGTCAGCTCTTTTTCTTTAATAAAGTTAATTTACTTCTAGTTCTCGCCTGCCTGCGTTTTGGGGTCCACCTTGCCTTCCAAACCTTATCATTGCTAGCTACAATTAAACCAGTTGTAGCTCCAACAATTTAGACAGCTACAAGTTTTTATTTTTTCTGATACAATTTCTCAATGTCTTCCTTTCTCTTTCTGCAGCTATTCTCTGTGCTCATCCTGCCTTTTGTTGTTGTGTTTCTTGGTTTATTTTACATTCTAGCCCTCATCTTTAAGAAAATAAAATCCCTATCCTATTGAAGAAATTTAAAGTTAATAGAGGTTAGTACTGATGTTAAAAGCACAACACTATATTCTTAGGTTTTCCTTTTTGTTATGTTGACAGTGTTTAATCTATTATGTTTTGATTGAAATAGGTTCAGTTACGTGTCAGAAATATGTGACAACACATAATTAAATGTTGGGATGACATTAGCTGAGGATTTTGTCTGAATGCCTGTGATTCAGCCGTACGTCAGTAGGGGGCGAACACAGGCATTGAAGAAGGTGTATGAATACATGAACTTCCTGGTTTTCCGGTAGTGTTGGTTTCCTGTCAGTTTGAGTGACCATAAACCTCACTCAGATCCAGAATTCTGGTGTTGTATGGTTTAATTCCTTCTACAAATCATTTTATTTAACAATTGTGTTTCTAATGTCGACTTCAGTTTATTGAATACGAATTTTCTTACACTATGTTTTATCTGGGCATATTGACAATGGTAAAGTTTCCTACCAAACCTTTATGAGGACAAGGACCAGCCTGGTCCAAACCCAATAAATGGATTCACATACATGCCATTTCACAGGACAGCTCCCCATTAATGGTGACAAAAAGAGCACACTTTGCTGCTTCTTCTTTGTACTTTTTAAATGCAGCACGCTCGTGTTCTCTACTCTGCACGGGCTGCGCATGTCGCGCACTATTCAAATAGTGTCATGATTCTCACCTGTGCCTTGTCATTTGCCACACACTCCTGTTGCTGCCAAGTAATCATCCGGATCGGGTACACCTGTTCACACCATATAAACTCCAGCCTGGCCTTCAGTCAGTGCCAGATTATCCTAGAGCCAACCATGAAGATTTTCCAGCGTTCTTCTCATGCCTTACCTTGATATCACAGCCTTGGCCTTGTTCTTTGTCCCACTGGTTCCTGACTCTTGCCTTGTCTGTTCCTCTGCCCACGACTCGTCTCTGGATTCTGACCTCTGCCAGTTGCCCTGAACCATGCTGTCAGCCTTCCCCACCTCTCTCGGCCTCATTGTCCATTGCCCTAGTTCTGTTCCTGGATCTCGATTTTTGTACAACGCCACAGTGTGAGAAGGAACACTTCCACCTCAGCAGTGGCGAGCTCTAACCGAGCATTACCTGCAACCAGATCTTGCCTGAACGTGTTTTTCATTAAAGGGGCAATATCATGTAAAATCAACTTATTTTGAGCTTTATATCATTATCCTCTCATCAAAAACATGCTCAGAGTCTTGCTTTGACTCATTCATGCATGTTTGAGAAATCCTGTAGTGTCCTGAGGCAGCCAGGCAGGGGAGCAAAATGACCGGTTCGGACCAGAACCGCCTTTTGGGATCAGCTCCTCCTCTGGGCTTTCTGCAAGCTGGGCTTCCTCATCACAGAGCACCCCACCCCGCCCTCCACCCCCTGGCCCGCCCCGCGACTCCTGCAGGCTATCAGCAGCAACAACTAGCAAACACTCAGTGAAACCATGTCTGCTGAGCTCCTAATACTACTTCTCAGTCCAGTCCTTTTCAGATTAAAATGAATTTTCAGATACCAAGGAAATTTTTAGGTTTTAGCTATATTTGCCCCCTTTAGCTTTTAGATAAAGTTTTGATCATTTTAAAGTGTATTCCCCC